AAACCAGTTTCTGATCAGTTAAACCGGTTTTGTGTAATGTCTGTTCCTAGTCTTTGAGTTTCAGTCTCCTTTAGCATGAAGCACCCAAAACCACTGATCACTTGAAAATCTTGACCAGGCTGTCAGAGATTCTGCAGCTGGCTGGTTTTTATTTATGAGAGGCTGATCCAGTATTCTGGAAACTTTTAATGATAAGACATTGTCATTTCTGTTATTTTCAAATTTTTGTTGGGCAGCAACACTCTTAAGAGAATATTGAACTTATCCCTCACTTTTGTTTCTCAAGATCTGTCTCCCTCCCTCCCTCCATCTTTTCCTCTCCCTTTCTATTTTGTCCATTTTCCTAACTGGCCAATGAACCCCAATGCTGTTTACTTCTTCTTTAAAAATCTAAACAGTGTATTTTTTGAAGTTTTTTAGAATTAGTATCAGATAATTTAAACTAAAGTTTTAAGGTATAACAAACCAACAAGATTTTAACACCAACCTACACTGTGGTACTGTGTTCTGTTACTTCACACAGAGAGATTTTTTACAAATTTATTGGAAAAGTGAGCAAGAGTAGACCAAATTAATCTGGTTCAGGTGCTCATCTTTTTAATAATCGTATCCCCCATGGAAAGCTCCATTATTCAAAAGTCCTATTATCTAGGTAGTTGAAAAAACATGGCCTTCAAAAGCATCTGAAACATATTAATAAAAAAGTATTCTCACAAATAACAGCAGAATTAGATTAGATGCCATTTCAGATAGAACGGAAAATTCTTTGTAATATTTATGTGAAAGCAATTTAGAACATTTTAAAGTATTCTTTGCCAGAAATCAAGGATATTATAATAAATGTTTCTTCCCCTCACAGATTTTGTATTGAATAAATACGAAGGGTTCCCTATATCCCCATGGAAGGTTTGTCAACCTATTCAGTTAGGAGGAAGCAATAATTTTGCCATGGACTTATATGAAATAATTCATGAAATCTAATATGACATAACTGAAAATGTTAACATTCTTGAAAGCACAAAAAATAGCTAAATATTTTCTGAATATTACAATAACAATGCCCACTACCATAAGTGTTGTAGGACGGGCTACCCGAAGATCTTGGCACAACTTTCTCAACAACCCTTCCATGTCAACATATGGGCTAGGTACTAGTAACCGCTGATATCCACTGACTTGCTTAAATTAGTACATGGGCAATAGAATGTGGCTTGCCGTATGCACTCCACACTGACTTGAAGAACTCAGTCCCCAAAAGTCCCACCCCATCCGTCAAGACTAGTGTTCTTCCTGCATTTCAGGAATCTGTTTTTCTCTGATGCCCCTGTATCCCATGCCTCTTTTAGCTGTATCTTAAATGAAACTTAGCCTTTTCTGTTGTAATTAACTAAAATTTGTTTATCACCTCAAATTTATTTTTTGTGTATTATGCTTTTGCTAGAGAGGCAGCCTGTACACTGTAAGTTATAAAAAACAAGCATATGGAAAATGCTCTAATAAGCAGTAATTCTTGAAAAAAGATATTTAATTTAACTAGCATACTGTAGTTTAGTTTTGTCACTTGTAAGGTTTTTTTGTTCCACATTTCACTGGTTTTACATTTATCTAAATTAATATGATTTTGGCTTACAGAGAGAGAGAGAGGGAGAGCTGAGGAATAAATGTATTTCTAATTAAAATTTCATGTTGATTTAAAATGCTTGCATATGAATTATCACGCCTGGCTTTCAGAATCTAGTGTGTGTGCTGTCAAATTATTTGATAGGGATTCACTGCATTTTCTTTTTCTTGTGACAGAAGATTCCCTAAGGCCATATAGAGCCCTTGATATGCATTCATAATCTATGTTGACATAAGTCGGTAGGAATTATCTGCACAAACTAAAGGCTATATAGTGCTTCCAGTATCTTTTATTTTTCATTGTACTCCAGCTCTAGGGCAAGTTATAAATCACTATTATTAAACTTGCTGAACGATAGAGAGTTGCAAGACTCGATTATGCAAAGAAAGGTTTAATGTAGTTACTAAATTATACCTAAAACATTTAAATTTCTTTCTTGAATCACTTAACTGTATACTGTATATACATTGCATAAAGAATATAGCACAATCAAATGTTTGGCTTTCCCTTACGTGTCAACCTATTCAAAAGAATGACAGGCTAACTGCATCTGACACCTGTCTTGCTATCTTTTCTATAGATTTTGTTAAGGAGTCTCAAAGTGTGCAAGTACTCATGGGTTCCCTGCAATAAGCCTGTAATAAGGGTGCAAAAATGTACACAGTAATATGCAGGGGATATGCCTCTGAGTAGAGTATTTAATTGGTTGGTTGACGTAAAAATGTAAAAGAATTTAAAGGCATTTGGTGGATTTTAATTCATTTTTCTTTTTTAATGTATGATTTATATTACATTTTTTTCATTCCCCCACCCCTTTTTTTTTTTGGTTTACATGTTGCTTTCATTCATTTGTAGAAGAAAAGAAAGCAGATCCAGAGAATGGGGATGCAGGTAGGGCAGCTTATTCAAAATATCTTGGTCTTTATGCCATTTGTGTTGAGCTATGGTATTACGCAATGTGTCTGAGTCCTTTAGTCAGTATAAAATATTAGTGCATTTTGAGGAATGTGGTATTCATATTAGAAAACAGATGCTGCAAAACCATTTTGGGTTTTATGAAAAAAATAACCTTAGTTTGACTTCAGTAGCCAAAGTCACACATTTTTCACTCCAATTTGAATGACTTACCTTCTTCCATATATCTGACTCTGTGAAGAGTTGCACTTAGAATAAAATTCATCACTAATTAGACCCTCTTAAAAAAGACAAAATATTTAATTTTCCCTAAGTAATAATAAAAAAGTTGAGTAACTCATTAAAATGGTTGCATCGTGAATTCAAGAATAATGTAAATATAAACTAGGAAATGATTGGCTACATTTTTAATTGTATTGCAGCAGTGATTCTGGTGCCCAGTGTGAACCAGTTTAGCCCAGTACAAGTTAGAGCCAAGCACTCCTCTGAACTATGATGAGGTACAGTACTACATTCTGGTGCTACTCAATTTTAGTGGTGGCACTCCAGCCACACCACCTTTCCATGGGGACACTGTCAGGATTGGGAGCGGATAAGAACAAGCCAGTTACGGTGGTTCTTCACTATCCAAAAAGTCTCCTGTGCCCAAGTTAACTTCAAGTAGTTAAGTAAACCAACTTTCAGCAGCTTTTGTGTAGTAAAACAGCCTTTAACACAGGCAAAGCTTGGATAT